CTGGCGGCCGGCTTGGCGCCCGCCCTGGTGGATGGCAAGCGCCGGGTGCGCCATGCTGCCCTGGAGGCCTTCGCCGTGCTGGCCTCGGCCATGGGGCCGGGCAACGCCGAGCTCCTCTTCAAGGCGGTGGATGCCGTGGAGCTGCAGGAGGACGGGGACGGCGTGATGAATGCCGTGCAGGCCCGGCTGGCCAGGAAGACCTTGCCCAAGCTGACGGAGCAGGGGTTCGTGGAGTACGCGGTGCCCCTGCCGTCCTCGGCCCACGGGCGGGGATCCCACCTGCCCCCCGGCGCTGACACGGATTGGTTGTTGGCAGGCAACAGGACTCAGAGCGCGCACAGTTACTGTGGGGATTGCACGAGGGGGGAGGCGGCGCCGAACTTGGGCGCGCACGGCCCGTACGCTGATCAGGGGATGTGTCCCCGAAGAGTATTAAGTGCAGGGAAAGGGAAAAACAAGCTGCCTTGGGAAAACGAGCATGCCGGCTCAGGAAACAAGGCGCCTCTTGTAAAGGGTGTTGAGCAGGTAGGTGCCCTCTTCGCTCACTTATTTGTTTCCATGAAGGGCCTGCCATGTCAGGGCACGAGAAATTAAATGAATGGCATTAGCAGTAAGATGCTTTTATTTCATAGATAAGAAAACTGACCCGAGGAAGTTGTGTGTGTTGCAGAAGGTCAGATACAGTCTGGCAGACAGAGGAATGGGCGAAACCAGGTCCTCTGTGTCATGCCAAAAAAACAAAGTCGTCAAACTTCGAACGTTTTTCTTCCAAAGGCAAAGAGTTGATATTGGGAGGAAACTTCCAGTTTCCTTCTATGTGAGAAGCAAGGGCCTTTCTGGTGATTTGTGTGTTAAACAGTATAGTTAGGAGAGAGGTTAGACAGGCTTTTGTGTCTGAAAGCTTGTCTTGCCTCTCTCGCAACTGTACTGTTGATCCAATAAAAGCTATTGCCAAAAAACCCTCTGCTTTTCGTATTTCCTGGACCTTGATGGCTACAGTTTCCTTCAAAGCACAGAAGCCTGTACATGTATAAGCTGTAAAGGGAATGTCTGAGATCCTCTGGTGGAAGGGAAATGGCTTTGGTTTTGGCTATGTGCAGAGCTTGGTAGCGCTTCTGTAGCTTTTGCTTTTGACAGTGATGAACTGCAATATCACGCTAAATACTTGGGCTGGATCACTTGAATGGCATTTGGTTTGGAGTCTCCCTTAGTGGGAAAAGTTTAGGTCAATGTTGCACATTCTCAGTAACACCAGCCTCAGTTCATAGAGCCATCTTTGAGAGTGAGTTTAACCCCCATAAATTACTCTTGTCCATGATCATTTCAGTCCCTTAATCTCTTACTAGATAACATTTTTTGTACACAACAGGAATGTGGTGGGTGTTCTTGCAAACTGAGCCCTTCTGCTAAGACCTTATTAATTAAAAACAGGTTTGAGTGTCGCTTGTTCTCCAAACAAATAACGTCATCTTGATGGTTAGAAAATCTGAGTTGTTTTTAATTAAATAATTCTCTAAATCACATGTCACACTCAGTTCTCAGTTATGTAAGTACTGCTTCTAAGCAAGCGCAGGTATCTAAACTCTCTACATTCTTATGCTTCTGTCCCCAATGCATGCCCTTCTGTCATGTTTCATTTGTATGGGCAGCGTATGAGCAATGCACTGGGAGTGCTGCCTGTGCTGCTGTTGCTGCACTTAATTTAGCGCTTGTTCCCTGAAGACCTTGATGTTGTAGAAAGAATGACCACAGGACTTGGTTTGGTGATAAAGGCCCTGCCAAGTTAATTACCTGTGAAGCATATCTTTGCTAATGTACGTGACCAACGGGAACGTGCAGGTACAACGTGCATATAGCATCCCCGAGGCCAGCGGCAGTTCCAAGGGGTTTCCGAGTTCTCCTTTTGTACAGCGATCACAGCAAATTCCATTTGTTGTACACATCCTGTTCTTTGTACTTGCACTTTATTACAAGGTCCTCCTACTCCCTGTGCAAAGCATCCTTCTCATTGTACATCCCACTGATACCTTACGTGTTTTAGACTATCCAATACCAACCTTATTACCTAATTTTGTGATAAATCTGCACAACCAAATCATATTCAGGAAATTCATGTTCACATATAGTTTAAACTTGTGTAAGCAGTTTGTGTATGGGGCATGGCTCCAGTGAGGACTGCACCCCCTAATTAAACCTCTGTACGTAATGGAACCCCTGAGAACTTTAAGGAATTAGGGTCTCCTGTGTGCCTGTATCTTTATATGAAGTGATTTTTAGGGCTCAAAACTTTCAGACTGGCAGTACCAGGCACAAAAGTCCTGTGTTTATCCACAGGGCAGATATAGTACAGATAACCACTTTGCTGATTTGCAGGTACCATCTCTGTGGATGAGAATGTGATTAACTTTTGATTTTAGTCATCATTTCTAAGATAACTAGCAATTAATGCAGATTGAGAAGATGATGGCTTACCAGTGGCACACTGGCAATTAGCCATAGCATACAACTTGGTTTGGTTTACAATATAGTGATAATTTGATTTCTTTAATGGGCATTGTCAGTTCAAGAGACTGACCACTCCATGACATCATAATTGGTTGCCATGAATACAGTTCTAAAACTTTTTAAGTGAGTGTGTTCCTTCGAGAGTGGCCATATTGGATTCCTGTATGTTGGTATGATTTACAACATGGGGCTCCACTTGCAAAAACAGTGGGGAAAAGCAGCCATGTTGATGGCAGTTAAGACTAAAGGTTTCTGTTCAACCACAGAGATGGTAAATGTGGTCAAGAATGATGTCGGTTCCCTGTACAGTGCCACTGTTAACCTGTCTCATTTGATTTGGAGAAACAACTCAGTAGGGGAGAGAATAATTTAGTCATTTATTCCTCAATATCCATGGCCTCTCTTTGATGTGACTTTTGAAGAGGTGGCCACATGTGCTGTGGACCACATACCTGTAAAGGCCTAGTTGAGACTAAACTGTCTGGAAAACAACAGAAACACCAACTAGCTTTTACAGTACTCTCTTACTTGAGCATGGACAAAATATGGCCCATGGGCTGGATACGAGCCACCAAGAGATTCTTTCTGGCCCATATCGGGTCCCTTGGCCTCGCCTGGTCTGTGGTGCATGTGGCCAGTCCCACTGGCCCGGGCACAAAGGTGCCACCTGGCATGGAACGCAGCATTTCTCAACCCGCGGTTTGTGACCTTAAAGTGGGTGGCGAGAATATATGAAAGGGTTGCAAACAAACTTTAAAAAATGGATCAACAAACTTGAAAAATGGATTATCCTTTAAAGGAGAAAAATGTGGGAAACCACAGGTTTCCCCTTGCAGGTTGGCAGAGTTCTAGCCTGCAAGGTGTGCTGCATGGGGCTGGATGGAGCCAGAGGAGGGCGATCAGGCAGGGGGTGCTGTGTGCATGTGTGTGTGTGCCCAGCCAGGTAGCGGTGGAGAGCAGCTCCCACAGCTCCCTGCAGGTAAATCTATGGGGTGGGGGGGAGAGGGGATATGTATTGGGGCAGGGGGGCAGAGGCAATACTGGCTGCCATTCCACCTTCTCTCTGGGGTAGAGCGGTGGCCTGAGAGGAACAGCATTGGTGGCTGGGCCATGGCAGCAGGGTACAGCTTCAGCTCAGCGCACGAGCGGCTGGCGGTGGGAGAAAGCAGCGCAGCGTCACCGCCCCCCCAGTCTCTTACTCATGCTGCTGGCGGCATGGCTGGCCCGGGGGTTCCAGTGGCAGCAATGAGTCGCGCCGGCCCACTCTGCCCTCCAGTGCCAAGTCCTGCCCACTGGGCCATGGAGGCAGCTTCTGCCCATGCTGGTCCAGCCAGGCTACAGCCCCCATCCCTATTGTGGGTGCACAAATCGGGGGTCTTCCCCCCCCCCCCCCCCCCCAGCAGCACACTCACATGCTGGCAGCTAGGAGTGAGGGGCAGCAAGTCAAGAGTGTGGGGCACCAGCAGGGGTGGGGGGGCTGTGGGCCAGAGGGCTGTTTCCTACATAAATTATTTACAGGGTTGGAAATGGCCATCACTGTTTACAGATGGGTCCTGGTACCAAAAAGGTTGAGCACCACTGGACTAGAGGTTCTGCCCCTTATACTGTCTTGCAAAACCTTGGCTCACCAAAACTTCAGCTTCTAGCAGTCCACCCTGCCCCTGGCTTCTCCTTAGTTTAACTGTGTCTTGTCTTCTAATCAGGTTCTCCCTCACCCCAGTCTCTTCCCTCTCCCTTCCTGGAAGTGGTAAAACCCAGGATAAGATATTTTTGGCAATCCAGTTAAGTGGTACTATAATGAGCAGGGCCTTGCAGATAAGTCAAGTAACACAGTCTTTCAGGGAAATACCAGAGTAGCACAGTAGGGTACCCCTGCATGGTTACCTGTGTGGTAACTAACTGGTGATTACTTTTCCTGTAGAATCATTAGAATCTGATTTGTTTCTCTAGTTATCCAGTGTATAACATGGGTATAAAAGAGGTACCTGTTCTATCATGCTTTGGGTAGACTGTAGCCTCTGCACACTCCCCCTCTGCTAGCTGGTCTGAGCAGCCCACTAGCTCTCTGATTATACACACTGTGTCATTTCATTAAGCTTAATAGTACTGCATGTAGCAAGCCAGGGGCAAAGCTGAATTGTTGAGCAGCTGGGTCAGCTGGGTCCCAGGCCTGCACATCTTTTAAAATCATACAAGTCATGTATGTACAGTCAGGGGTTGTCTGTATATTGAAGTTGCACTGGGTAACTCTTGCATGTAAATGAGGCTTACCAGAAATAACATGGTGAGAGTTTGGTCAAAAAGTCCACCTACCTTTAGGCTTGTTCCCTAGAATTCTGTAATGCGTTGTCAGTCTAATTCTAAACCCTCACGGGTTACGGGCTCTTAGTTTCCCTGCAAGACTAGACCATTCCAAAACTGAGCGGAACTCATAACGAACCTTTCCCTTTTCAACAAAGCCTTTCTTTTTATATTTAACCCATCAATCCTAGTTGTGCCATCTTGTGACTTGGGTGTGTTCATTTGTTTTTTGCTTACACTCTGCATATATGAAAATTAGAACCTGGTAAAATCTGGCAGAGGTAGCACGTACCTTAGCATGCTAAATTTTGGCACGATTTAAGATTGTTTGTTTGTTTGGGTGTGTTTTTTAAACCACTACATTTCTATGCATTGCATTGCCAAAATGTTATGGTGAGCAAGAAATGAATATTCTGTCTCATGAATCTGCAGACAGTCTGCTTACAGCTTTGTCAAGGATCAATTTAGTCAAATGAACAGGACTCCGTTTGCTCCCACTACCACCATTCGGTGTTCTGTGGTTAGCGTGAAAATTTTTATTCAGAGAGGGGGAGCCAGCTGGACATCTGTAACTGAACCAATTTAATTAAAAATTAAATGTTTTGTGTTTTGCATTCCTAGAGCCATCTGATCCCTTCTGGAAATGCTGTCTGTTCCTTTGTCTTTCCTCAACTCCTTGACTTTATGCTGTCTGCTTTTTACTTCCCTTTGTTGTCTTG